GTCCTGGGGGTGTGTGGTGTCCCTGCAGCGAGCGGAGGCGGCAGCGCTGGCCGTGCCCCTCGGGCGGGTTTCTCCAGGGGTTTCGTGCGTCCTGCCCCGAGCCGTGGTGCTCCTTGCTGGCCGCATGCGGAGCAGTCCCTGCCCGGGGAGCTGTCTGCGGCGAGAGCTCTCTCCTCCTCTGCCCTGGAGGAGGGAGGAAGGAAGGAAGGAAGGGCACTTTCCTTAGCATGCACCAGGCTGATGCCACCTTCATGCCGCTGGAGGGGCTCCTGCACGCGCGCTTGTCGCTGGCCGCGTGGGCCACTGCTCCTGGCACCGCCGGTTCTGCGCAGCAGCCCCAGACCCGGGTCGTGCTCCGGCAGGACCCGCGCCGGGGAACCCTCTGCCAAAGACGTGAGCAGCCTCTGCGGGCGGCAGCGCGGCGAGGGGACGGCCCCGGCACGGCGCTGCGTCCCCAGCGAGGGCAGCGGCCTCTTCCGTAGCGACGTCGGCCTGGAACCCCGATAACCCCCTTGTGTTCAGCAGTCTGTATGGTTTTAACACGGCGTCGAGGTTAGTTCAAGCACCCAAGGAGCGTTTTTCTTAATTTTCAAGGGTGATACGAGAAAAAAAAAATAAACAGTTTTTGTAACCCTGTACAATAATGGCCTAGGGAATAGGATACATTCCAGTGTATACAAGACTACACATTCTTTAATCAAATAAAGAGTATTATAAAAGGAGACACGCTGTGATTCCTCTCGCTCGCCTCGCTTTCTTACCGCGCTCGCCCAGAAGACATGGGAGATGATTTCAGAGCAGCGCAGAGGAGGTGAGCAGTAGATGAGCACAATGTCACTCTTGTTGCCCCTGAAGCCAAGTTCGCCTCAGAATTGTGTGCAGGATTCATTCTCCTGCCGTTGCTCCAGAGCCGCTCGAGACGAGCGCCTGAATGGGCTCTTGTGCCGTTGTGCTGGCGTGCGCCGTGCTGCCTTGCACTGCCCGCGCTTTAAATGCAGAGCTGGGGCCAGAAGGAGCACGTTTGAAATACGAGGAAACGGAGAGGAGTTTCGTGTTCGCGTGCAGGTAGGTGCTGGTGGTTGCTGTTTGTTTTGCTTTGCTTCGCTCCACGTAGCTGCTCCTGCCAGAGCCGGCCTTGGAGCAGCTCGGAGATCTCGCACATTGCAAGAATTTTTGGCACCTTCTCGAGTGAGGGGCTGCGTTTGCTCCTGGGAGCCTCAGCCTGGGCTGGGCTTCGTGCTCAGAAGGAACAGCAGAAAAAGTGAG